TGACCTCTAAGCCACATCCACAAAATAAGCCACGCCCACAGAACCGGTAGTAAAAAAATTTAGAACCCACCCCTGGTTATAGCTAAAGTTGGCAGGGCCACACCACTCAGTTCTATTGAACATCGCATAGGGATATGCTTTCAACAAAATGTGTAAAATGAAAATATGATCAATCAAATCCCATGTTAACATAGACATACTGTTTTCCATACTGGCTAGGTCAGTAATGGCTAACCTTTTTCGGACTGAGTGTCTAAAGCACGCACACACACAAATGTGTGTGCATGCACCCAAACTCCCAAGATGCAATCCATGTGTGGCCCCCATGCATGCCCCCTGCCCCCGTGCATGCACGTGCGGTCCCTCATACATGACCCCCCCCGCGCATGCGCGGCATATACCCAAAGACCAGCTGGCTGGCGGGAGGCGCATGCACAGTGGAGCTGAACTGGGGCGATGGCTCATGTGCCATCAGAGTGGGTTCTGTGTGCCACCGTTGGCACGCATGCCATAGGTTCACCATCACGGGGCTAGGCAGAGTTCTAGTCCCTGGAAAGATTATACAGAAACCAAAGGACATATAATCAGTTCAGAGAATGATAGAAAAAGCATAGTCTGCCTGCTGAAGCTAGGTAGTTTGTGGCTTGGCAAAGATTTGATTGAGAACACTGTATCAGGAACCCAACAGTATTCAAACACTGGCAACTCACTGAAAACCATAGGGTGGTGGATTCCAATATTTTTGGTTTACGTCAGAGTTGACAAACTCAAGGCCCGCGGGCAGGATCTGGCTCAGAGGGTGCTTAAATCCGGCCTGCGGGGCCATCCTGGAAACAGCAAAGGACCAACCTGTGGTGCCCCTGGCAGCAAAAACGGACCTCGGGAGAGCCAGGTGCAACCCCCCTGAGCTCAGTTTTTGCTGGCAGAGAGTTGCAGGAGGCCGTCACAGCTGAAAACGGAGCTCGGGAGCCCATTTTTGCTGGCAGAGCACTTGGAACACCACAGGCACCCTTGACATGAGTGACATTGAGCTGGCCACACTCACCCTGGCCACGCCCACCTTGGTCCCCCAAGGTCAAACACAACCCTAATGTGGCCCTCAATGAAATCAAGTTTGACGCCTCTGATTTATGCTGAGCCTTTTCTCTCTATGGATTTCTAATTCTGCTCCAGTTGCAAGATTGGAATCAATTGAAGGTAGCAAAGGAAATCAAGGACAAATAGCCTAAGCATAAGTCTGTCCTGATTCAGGTTCTTATTTGGGCTCTGGTATTAAAAACTTAGAGAAATAGGATTTTCTATGTTTCTTAACTATAATATCAAATTAATTTGGTCTCTTGGAATACTATGATCGTTTCTTACCTGAACCATTATCATAATATTTAGATGCTGCTGCTTACAGTTTTTTAGACCAAATATGTTTAGTTCTCTTTGCATAAGATATGTAGCTATATCTGTTTTATAACTCCACAAGGCTCATGCCCAGAAACAGAAAATTGGGAGCCAGCATTTCTCTGCTTGAATATTGATTATACAATATCTGCTTCAGTTCCTCTGGGAATCATCGGATGGTTCATTGCCCATTAGCAAACAGTTTACCCAAGCTAAAGATAATGTTTCAGATACTATAAGAGAAACTACAGTATAGCAAGTCGTTTAAAGCAGCTCAATCCCAATGGGAAAAAAGAATTCTTCAGCTATTCAAACTTTTCCAAGAGTAAGCAAACAAAAATATACATGTTATAACATCTTTACTGCTCTTTGATGCTTTCAGATTTTCTATATCAATTTTAAGGAAAGTGTTCATAGCTAAACACCAATTGTCTTTCAAGGAATTAGCTTGATTATTTTCCCCTGAATTTAGATAGTCCTGATAATCAAATTAAAAGAAACAACACTGAAAAGATATACTATTGAAGCAGCATAAAAGTGGTCTCAAATCAATCAATATTTTATCTGAGGTTTAACTGAGATATGAAGGGTTAAGAAACCAAAAAAGTAGTTAGTTTTTAGAGCTTTTAAAGAAGCCATCATATGTCCCCAGTATTTGCTAATGATTATGAGATTAAAATGAGTTATTTGGATGGACAGTAGTATTTTCTACTTACACATCAAGGCCTGCTTGAGAATAATCCATCCTAAATAAAGCCAGCTGAAAATGTTCCTAGATACAGTTATAGCGAAAACATTCAGGAACAATGTAAAACAGCTGTGCAATGTTTTCCATATTTAATTTTAATTAATTGAATTAATTAAATAAACATGAAATGATCACTACCCATGTGTGCAATGATTTCCCATTTTGTTTAGGTAACCATTAAATTTTAGTCATAGCTATTGGAGGATTCGTAAAACTTTGGGAAATCCTAGGTACTTGTGAAGTCACAAGCTGGACCTCCTTCTAAATCTTTCAGTTTTATTCTTCTAGAACAGCGATGGCGAACCTTTTAGACACCAAGTGCCCAAACTGTTTGCAAACTAAAGGGGTGCACGTGCATGTGCAAATGTGCATGCACCAACAGAGACCCAAAAACCAGCTGGACGGTGGGCAGTGTGGCAAGAGGTAAGATCTTTTTCTTTCGTGAGCTTCTGTTTCGTCGTTTGCAGGGAAACAGAAGCTCACGAAAGAAACACCACACAGAGATCTGACCTGGGGCCACGGCCTGCGTGCCAGCAGAGAGGGCTCTGCGTGCCACCTCTGGCACACGTGCCACAAGTTCGCCATCACAGTTCTAGAATATAAGTTAGTACAACAATAGAAATAACAATGCAAAGTTGTTTTTATTAGTACTGTTCACATTTTGAAAATCTCATTATTCCACTTGGAAACCTCTTCTGGACGTCATGCTTGAGATGGAAAAAAATGAAACTTTGATTTTAGGTTTTGCTGATTAGATAGGTTTGGTGTTATAGAAAGGGCTAATATACATTATTATATAAAAGTAAAAAGTTGATGTGCCATGTATTACTTTATTCTGCTGTACCAAAAGGAGTCGGAAGTCAATGTTTTTCTTTTTCTTTTTCCCCTCTTTCCCTTTTCCTCCCCTATTTTACCTTTATTTTAATTTTTCTTTGTATTTTTTGTATTTTATGCTTTGATAAACTAATAAAGAAATTATGGGAAAAAAACCCTGAAAATCTCATTATCTCCAACGTTATGGCCATTTTTAAGTGACTTTAAAATAAGGAAATAGACAATTAAAAAAACCGTCCATATAACATATTGTTTTGCTATCCTTTCCCTGATAATGAATCAATTTTCAGTAATGTTAATATGTTATCCGGTAGAAACTATCTTGTCTTTCTTGGAAGGGAAACACAAAAGTTGAGAGAGCTTTCTCTCTTACTGTATTCATACTCCAACCCCTATTTTTTCAGAAAAGAAAGAAAAAGAAAAGAAAGAAAGAAAGAAAGAAAGAAGAAAGAAAGAAAGAAAGAAAGAAAGAAAGAAAGAAAGAAAGAAAGAAAGAAAACTTAGATTCCGTATTATCGGTTGGCAACAACTGGGAGGAGAAGTGTTCTCTTCCTTTCCTTAATTTGTGATAGAATTATTACACTAAAGAACTGTGGGCTGTTGAATCCCTGACATCCCAACTTTTAGTCAAACATTTCAAAAGAAGGGTTTTAAAAAAAACAACAACCAGCAGTTAAAACAGGCAACATGAAAATAAATCTCAAAATAGACAACAGCCTGCCTTCCTTCCTTCCTTCCTTCCTTCCTTCCTTCCTTCCTTCCTTCCTTCCTTCCTTCCTTCCTTCCTTCCTAATCCACTAAAGAGATTGTTTTGAGCCTCTTGCTCACAAGAAATGAGTTATGAATAAAGTTTACTCAAAGAAAGTTTTGTTATTTGATCAGTTTAATGCATGCACTACATAAGGGAAATACTTATGTTAAGGCATATGTAATTTTTAAATAGAAGAAGATAAAACAATATCTGAGAGGAATATGCTGACATATGGCTAAACAATTATGGATGCTTAATTCTTAGAGATTAAGACAAACCTCTGAATCATGATGTGATGGTTGGAAAAATCCATATAATTAAAAAATCTGGAGTCTGAGCATTTTCCAAGGTTATTCTCACTTGATAAACTTCTGATCTTTGAAAGTTTTAAAACATTAAAATTTGTCATTTCTTTGGAGCAGGAATAGAGAATCTATGTTAAATTATTCACAGATGTTGGTGTTCAGAATCATAAGATTTCATTTATAGAAAAAGGGTGATATATCAGAGAACATTTTCCTGAATTTGAATTCCAGTATCCATTCAAAGCACTATATACATATATTATGCTACATTGTGTGCATCTTAAGATATAAGAAAAATAACTGTTGGACTGGTTCAGTTGGAGGCCCATTTAGTTCCCATATTCAGTTCCTTGCAATGGCCAAAATCCAGAGAAATCCCACAGACAGAACATAAATCCACTTGCATTTTCCCGTTCCAAAAATTGCAGCTAAAGTTTATAGATAATACACATTGCACATACTGCTTTTTTAAAAAAAAGAATATCGATGTGAGAATACAAAGGCATCATGATTTTTGTATGCACGGTGATTTACAGTGCAATTATGTACATGCTTATTTTAAAGAAAAACTACTTGAAATAATTGGTGAGTTTTAAAATCTGCATTTGAGAGGATACTACATAGACTTTTCATGGAAAAATCGAGAAGAATGGAGAACAGCATTGAGGAGAAATAACCTTTTAATAAATATTAAACAATCATTGAATCCCAATTTTACAAGGCAAATGAACCCTCAAAATGAGAAGCAAAGATCCTCAAAGGGGTTGAGGGCCACAGGGTGTGAAATCCTAGGAATCCGATTCGTTTGCAAATTTTGCGGAAGCTAGGCTGGTTCTTTCCTGTATATCTGGGGCTATTTGTGTTGTTAACTGCACTTTCAGGAGACCATTGTTAAAAAGAGGTCATCAGGGGCATGTCTCTGAATAAGGGTGGAATGTTGCAGCTTCTCACCTTGTTATTATGTCACAATTCCCTTATTATGGTTGCCTTCAATTGTGCTATGAACAGGTGAGGAGCCTCTATTCTTTGGTTCAGAAAGAAAGCTTTGAATGGAAGCAGGGAGGGCTAGTTTGAATCTGATAGGATTAGACAAAGAGAGGAGCTATACCTGAGCCTGGTCACATCTTAAAGACAGGAAGGAAGAGGATATGCCCCCCATGTTTTTTTGATAACATCTGTTTTCTCCACTATAATTACAGATATGAGAAATGAAGCAAGGTATATGTACAATTACTAGTGTGTTATTTTTTTGTTTATTAGTCAGTTCTCTTCCTGAATATGCATGTGTGTGAGAGTAAGTGAGCATACATAATGTGCACTTTTGTTGAATCCTTGAATTGTATAAGGCTCTCCACATTCACCTCTAAAGCTAAAATGGTATAAATCAGAGGTGGGTTTCAGCAGGTTCTGACCAGTTCTGGAGAACCGGTAGTGGAAATTTTGAGTAGTTAGTAGAACTGGTAGTCAAAAGTCTGACTGGCTCCACCCCCATCTATTCTCTGCCTCCCAAGTCCCAGCTGATCGGGAAGAAATGGGGATTTTGCAATAACCTTCCCCTGGAGTGGGATGGGAATGGAGATTTTACAATATCCTTCCCCTGCCATGCCCACCAAGCCACGCCCACAGAACTGGTAGTAAAAAAATTTGAAACCTACCACTGGTGTAAATTATTATTGTGAATTGTTGCACCATCATTTAGTAGTACACATTGTCGCCAAATAATAGTGCAACAATTCACAATAATAATTTACACCAGTGGTGGGTTGCTCCCGGTTCTGTCCGGTTCTTGTGAACTGGTAGTAAAAGCAGTGGAAAGCTCCGCCCACCTGCCTGGACATCATAATGGACGATCTCCACATGCGCAGAAGCTTCTGCACATGTGTGCATGTTCCCGTTGCGAACCAGTAGTAAAGTAGAACCCATCCCTGATTTACACCATTTTAACTTTAGAAGTGAATGTGGAGAATCCCTGAGAGTCTGTATAGAAGCATGCAGTGAAACGTAATGACTGTGAATTGTTACATAGTCCATTTATGCACCATCATTTGGTCATGATTGCTGCTGAAGTCCCTTCAACCTTATTTCCTTCTCTTTTTCCTCATTTGGGATGTGGCAGGGCTGTGCAGAACTTGGAAGACACAACTTCAGTTTAGTAAAGATTTTACTGAAACATCATAACCAACCTGACTAAAGCAGCTCAAGTGAATGCTTTGACTCGAAACACCGCTCATATACCTTAGTAAAAAGCACTGAGTCCAATGGAGTTGTTCCAATGGTTTGGATCAAAATGATCCTTTGGCCAGAGCAGAGCAATTTTGTACCATCCTAGCATCAACCTACAGAAGAGGAAAATATACTTCAAAGAAGAATCAAGGTACAAAATACTTAAATCTTCAAATCACAATTTGCACAGTTGCCCTTTATTGCTTTTACAACAAGACTTTCTTTGAAGAAATTTAGATTGGATTGATGATTTTTCAATTCCCCCTAGTTTTATTCTTATATAACTTAATATTAATGAAAAATGCTGAAAGTAGGGGTTATGGCAAAACTACAGTTTAGGATCCCTGATGCAGAATGAAAAAAAAAAATCACTTGGTTTCCCTATACCAAATGACAGAGGGAAGTCTACACCTTTGACCTTAGTTTCCCCCACCCCTACTGTCCCATCAAAAAAATATATCACTGGTGCCAAATGACCCATGATTCGTGTCACCCTCTTTTCTTAATCTGTACAGAATGCTGCAAAGGTACTTCATCAAACACCAGCAGTGTTTTGAATGTAGGTGGAAGTAATCTCCATCCCCTGCTGTTGGTTTCCGGCTTCCAGGCATGGGCCCAGAGAGGGAAAAAAATTCCATTCTACTCCCAATCAACATCAGTTGAAAGCTATTGATGGCTGTAACATCTTTAAGTAGCCACTGTGGACTAATTTTCTTTTTGATTTACACTTAGGAATGTGGAAGGGAAGGTGGAGAAGAAAAAGGAATCCTCTGTGAAGATTCTGAGATGGAACCTTTTAGAAATTATTTTTGATTTCCTCTTTTGAGTTACTCTAAGGCCTAAATGTGTCATACAAAACTTTCTTACCTTGGGGAAAAAAGCCTTCTGTTCTCTGAGGTATTCTCAGGATGCTTTGGAATTTATTTAGGATTTTATGTTTGTAAAATGATGAGATTCCTCTACATCTTCATCTTGCTGCAGTTTCTTCCCTCCCTCTGCTTCCCAATTTGAAAAGACTCTTGGGAAGGGTTTTCCTAGAACAGCATTGTCAAACTCACATTGTCACAGCGGCATCATGTGACCTATCAGGACATTTTTTCCCTTCTCTAAACTGGGTGTGGGCGTGGCCAGCGCATGACGCATCTGGCCTGCGGACCAGGAGTTTCACAGTCCTGTCCTAGAAAGTCTTGCATAAAATACAGGAAGCCAAAGAGGTTGAAGGCGTTTGGAGATAGGACATCATAATAAATGAAAGTAAATTGTAAAGGGGGAAAAAGCAGCATAATTATTCTTCACAATATGATGAGTAAGGTAATAATCTCTAGTAAATCTGCAAATATATTCTCCAAGTCTCTTTGGCTACAGGTTAATCAGACTCTCAAAGCACCTTGGCAACACTTTGTATCATAATCTAATAATTCTAGTTTTCCTAATTTGCTATCACAATAGCAAGTTAATTAACTGAAAATGTCAATATAAAATTACTTCAAAACCACCAGAAAGGTAATGAAATACTAATTTACTATTTTCTATCATCTTCTTCAGTGCTACGTTAATGAAATTGCTAATCCTTCTGAATTGACATTTAATTCTACTGTAGACCAATAGATGGCAGTAATAATTGCCTTTTGCAGTAGGGAAGTAGGACCATCCATGCAACAATGTGTTGAATGAAAGTATTTCCTTCCAGAGAATTCTGGCATAACATTTTATTATTGTTAAGGCTGAAGAGGAAATATTTGTTGGTTTCTGCTATCTAAATAAATGTCTGTTCATGTGCATGACAACTTTGATTTAATCTTAAATTCCAAACCCTGTATGCATATTCTTTCACATGCACAGAAATACACAGACACAGATTAAAAATGATCTACAAACTTTCAAATCCCAAATAACACAAAATATTAACACAAACAGCTACTACAATAAAATGGAGTAACAAGCTTCCAACTTTGCAAAAATGGTCCTTAGGCTGTTAGGCTTTACAAGATACTTTCAGGTTACCCCCAGTTCTTCACAAGATTTCTAGAAGTAACCAAACAGCAAATAAAGGCTTGGTTACTCAAAGAGATGCAGCAGATATGTATAGAACTAATAAATTAAAAACAGTGTGAATTATCACATAGCTCGTGTTTAATGTTATTTCACTTCTTATTTTCCCAAAAGGCTCCCTATTTAATTCTATTTACTGCTGTTTTTTTCCAAATAGCTTACTTTTTATTCTAATTTAATAATTCATCACACATATAATTCAATTCAGTTCAGTTTATTATGTTTTAGACCACTACAAGCAGAATACTCTATGAATGAATGAATGAATGAATGAATGAATGAATGAATGAATGAATGAATGAATGAACCCATGCACACATACACAAGTAGTTTGGTCTGTGAATGAACAAATGTGTGTTTGTGTGTGTGTGTATTTTATCCTAATAGATGATAATCAAAATTAAGTTTAAGACAATTAAGTTATAATACAGTTATAAAGCACCCTAACGAACATCTATAAGTAAGGTTCACCCACATATTAATGATATCGATTTTAATATAAAAAGGATGCATTTTTTCAAAGCATTTGATGCTTTTTTTCAACATACATACAAATTATACCTTAAGTTGTCCAATGTGTTCATATTGTTTCTTATATTTCTAAAGTTTGCCAGATCAATTTTCAGAAAGGTGACTAAATAGTGTATCACTCTTCTCAATTTTTGGTTAAAACCTTAAAGCTATATCAGACAACATTCAGGAATCTGTCTGACTCGGTATCATCTTCCACTATTTTCATGCACACCTTAAGGTTTCAGACAAGGTCTTTCTTGCAGGCTCCAGGAATCAAATTTGAGAACCTGCATGCAAATCAGAGGTGGTATTCAACAGGCTCTGACCAGTTCTGGAGAACCAGTAGCGGAAATTTTGAATAGTTCGGAGAACCGGTAAATACCACCTCTGACTGGCCCCGCCCCCATCTATTCTCTGCCTCCTAAGTCCCAGCTGATCAGGAGGAAATGGGGATTTTGCAGTAACCTTCCCCTGCCATGCCCATCAAGCCATGCCCACCAAGCCACGCCCACAGAACCAGTAGTAAAAAAAAATTGAATCTCATCACTGATGCAAAGTATGTTTTACCATTGTAAGAGAGGCTGTTTCCCTATCTTAACTGAGGATGTCCACACTAGATTATTGAAAAAATTATGATAATTTTTACATATTAGTATATTATCTCCTATATTGTATTGTACATACACACACACACACACACACACACACACACCATCTCCTCAGCTTTCTTCATTTATGGAAGTTTTGAATGCCTCAAATTCCTATAGAACTATGTTTTCATTCCAGACAATGAATCATTACGATCAGTTTTAAGAAAGATGGGGTCTCATTTTAGTAAGAAACTTAACACTAGATGAATACAAATTCCTGTTTCCTCAATGGGAATCTGGCATACATTGATAGACATCTGTGTTGTCCTGTCAAGAGACAAGAAGAATTTCACAAGTCTCTTGCTTCTCCAGATTGCTTATCAAGTTCAGAAATGCCTTTTATCACCTCCCTGAAGATTTATTTGTTATATTACATATCACTCTGTATTTTATTTGTCACCTCTAGAGCTGCATAGTGTATCTCAAATTGAAATTAAACCATGCAGGCCAAGTATTTCAAGGACTTATTCAATCTCTCACTTAAACCCATGGTTGCTGAGGAGACTCAAAAGCTTTTAAATCTCATAGTATGTACAATGCACAATGTGACAGGTCTTGTTGTTTAACTGACTATCTATGGTTATTAGTTTTATCAGAAACATAATATTGATTTATCTGATATGCTGTACATTACCATGAGGCCTGCCCGAGGCCATAAGCATCTCTTCTGCCTTTGATGTATATTGAGGATACAGCCATTATTATATTTCAGCATTCTACAGAAGCAGGGTTCCTATACACCTTGAACTCTTTGCTGTCTTTTAATTTAACTGATTATTATTTAAGTTTTAAAGCTTCAATATTGTTTAAGTGGGATAAGTGCTGGAACAAAGTCATGGATTGGAGATAGCACAGCATTCTTTTTGTTTTTGGCAGGCAAATGGGAGTTAGAATTATGCACTCTAATACAATATGAAGATGATAATTCATTATGTTACTAATTTATTAGAGCTGACAGAGTTGTTAAGTGTTCTCTTTGGTTCATAAACTTCAAGGTCTGCCTGCAGTAGCTGTTGTTGTCTGGACATGTTTTCTAAATACATATTTTGGTCAGGTACAAAGGGAAAAGAAAAGGGTGCCTGGGACTGTACATTTTTCTAAAATAATTGACAGCATAAACTTGTTTAGTTATTCTTAAAACCAACATTTAAATAGCGATAATGTAGAATTTCCTTCCTGAATTTGCAAGCTTGTCTATAGGCAGATCTGAGAATTTCTATCTTTGTAAGTTCCAGCATGAAATGATTGATTTAATGCCTCACAAATTAACAAATAGATTGAAATGAGGCTCTCAGTCAGGTTCAGTGCTTCTCTGCAGGTGTGGGAAAGTTCACAGATTAAAAAATAAATAATTCAAAAGTTTGTACTTTAAGATACAATATGCTTAAAATTGTTTATTTAAGAAGGAATATTCTCCAAAATATGTATTCATAGTAAGATTTTTTTAAACTGATAATATAGAGAGATGATATAGGTACATAGATATACAGTAGGTATTTTTGGGAAACTGTGAGGCAGGCAAGGAGGAGGGATCAAGCATGGAATTAGCCTTGAGTCATTGTAAAGCTGCAAGAGACGTAAGGCTCTCAGTTCTATGATAAGTAGAGTGAGGAAATTCTTATGCTATAGGAAGAGCACAATAAAGTAGTTGCTCAAACTTTACATCTGACTGTATTGTAATCCTTCAAAAATGATAAATAATACAAATATATTTAAAAACTTTCTAAAACTGGCAAAGTAAAAAGAAAAAGCAAATGCAATAAAAACAGCCCATTTAAAAATATTTTACATATGGCAGAATAATTATATGAAAGTTTATATATTTTTAAAAATTCAGAATTATAAATTTGCTCAATTTATGAGCAAATATTTACACAATTGCATAACAGTGATAACCTTTATCTTCCAGCCTTCCATAATCATGATAGATAATAAGAACCTAGCAGTTCGAAAGCACATAAAAAATGCAAGTAGAAAAATAGGGACCACCTTTGATGGGAAGGTAACAACGTTCTGTGCGCCTTTGCTGTTTAGTCATGCTGGCCACATGACCATGGAGATGTCTTTGGACAATGCTAGCTCTTTGGCTTTGAAACTGAGATGAACACCACCCCCTAGAGTGGGGAATGACTAGCACATATGTGCGAAGGGAACCTTTACCTTTACCTTTAGGCTTTTCTACTCACAATCCCATTGCATTTAGTAGAAACTGAAAGCAAGAAAGAATTGTCCATGTTTCTTATGTGCAGAATTTTTTTGTGGGTATCCTTCATTATGATGGCATCTTCAAGAGGACATTTAAATTGGCTCATTTATTGAGGTAATTTTTTTACTGTTATATAGAAAGCTGTGTGTTGTTCCTACTTGAGAATATGTATCAGCAGTGAGATATTGCCAAGTAATGTGTGTGAGTCCTCCTGCATGCTGCCCAACCATCCCTTTGTCAGCCACATGTGTCACCCCATTTCCTCTCCTTCAGTGGCCCCGGCCCTAGTCCCTCTTCCTCACCCCCCACCTCTTTCTTTGGGCTGCTTACCTTCCTCCCATGGTGGCTGGTCCAGAGACCAGAAGGCAGCCTCCAACCAGCCACCACTGCCGTGATGTGGCTCTCAAAGAGGTGGTGGCTGGGAGGCTTCTCGCAGTTGCATCGAAAAAGCCACAGGCCACCGAAAATTACCAGAGGTCACTGAAAAAATCACTGCCATTGCCACCCTGTTTTTCATACCAGCCATGCATGTGCACCCCATTGCTTGCTGCATTGTGCTCGGACTGACGCAGCAGGCAATGGGATGCAACGGCAGTGGCGTTTTCAGTGACCTCCAGTAGTTTTCGGGGGCCTGTGGCTGGGAGGCTTTTTCTTTTTCGATGCGACTCTGAGAAGCCTCCCAGCTGTCGCCTATTTGAGAGCCACTTCCTGGCAGCCACTTCCTGGCACTTCAGGCGGGAGGGCAGTGCAAGCGAGTGGCAACCGACATTAGTGGTTGCTAATGGTTCGGCGACCCAAATTACCACTACTGGTTCACCCGAACTGGTGCAAACCGGTAGAAATCC